TATTTTTTTAATTGTCTTGTAATGGCAGAAAATACAGAAAAATGCCCACCGCAGTCTCCGAGCTCAACATCTTCCAATTGCATCTGTTTTTTATTTGTTTGCTTCATTTCTTTTTCCATAATTAGACCAATTTGTGACAGTGCTGCTTATTGTAAATATTTCATACTTAAACACATCTAGTTTCCTGCAATGATGATGTACACATGTATATTATGTTCTTTAATTGACTTTGCTGTAGACAACAATCACTTGAAAGGGGCAGATCATTTTCTCTTGATTAACTATTAATGTCATAACTCAACTAATCATTTTAGTGCTGGAGACGGATACATGAACACAAGCCAAACAACATAAAGTTGTCCTGATGCTGATACTGAGTCTCCTCTTCAGCTGCTCTCACAGCCGACCGGAGGTCCTTATCTCTTCTGAAACAGATAAATTTATCTGGTAAAACCATTAAAGTGGTTGTTAAATGTTTGGACTCTGTCAGCCAGTCTGCTAATGGCCTGCTCCACCACATCCTACTCCTATAAATCTTTACTGGTAACAGAAATCAGAAACAGGTGGAATTATTAGGAAACGGGTGTGCTTCTCCTGCACTACATTATCTTTACTACTGTTTCTCTTATTTGTTCTCATTTTTGTTATTTTTTCTTTAGTATTGCATGTTCATATATATTCTGATAAAGGCCTCATGCCACAACAAAAGTCAGTCTATTAAGCCCTGTTTCCACCAAACACTTTCGGTGTGGTACCTTGTGTGGAACCAAAAGTTACCCTTCAGACATGGTACCTAGACCCTAGATCCGCTTAGTGTTTCCACCGCAAACAGTACAAATGTGGGTGGGGTTGTTGTCACTCACTGCTCCATCTAGCACTCACTGTATTTCCTCATCACTGGTGACACAGATAGAAGTCTGCACCTTGCTTATCATCCACAGAACGAGGCTGCACGCCGACATTTTCAGAACAAAATAAAACAGGCTGCAGTGAGAGACTCTCTCCATGGAATATTTAGAAAATAGCGGGTTTGTGCACTTAGTCCTATTAAGGCAAGTTCAGGGGTTCAGTGTTGCCGTAGCCCACAGGAACAGCGCTCAACAACCCTTGTTTTTCTCAGAGTGAGGATTAGAATATATGCAGTTCATATAACCCGGCAAAAATTAATCTATGTAAAATCGTATGTCATATAAAACAGTGATGGTCAAAGTTGTTAAAGTGAAATTTAAGGTGTGTTGATTGATTCATGTCTGCACCTCATGCATTGAGTAACATTACAAGTCGCCTGCAGTCGGCCCAGTGAATTAAGTTATTTTTTACTCCGACAACAGCTGCTGCAAGAGGCACTGAGTCATCCTTTCATTTATATTTACAGTCTGCTAATAAAACTGACACACGCAGGGCGTCGGTGGCTTAGTGGTAGAGCAGGCACCCCATGTACAAGGCTGTTGCCGCAGCGGCCCGGGTTCGACTCCAGCCTGTGGCCCTTTGCTGCATGTCACTCCCTCTCTCTCTCCCGCCTTCATGCTCATCTGTCCTATCGATTAAAGGCTTAAACATGCCCACAAAATATCTTAAAAAAAAAAAACCTGACACACAACTGGGCCCTGAGCAGAGCGACCGCCTGCTATTGACCAATCAGTAGACTGCAGTGTTCACAGCTCCACCTCTTAACACCAGATCTGTGTGCTAGGTACCCCAACAGAGGGATCACCAAAAATGAGGACAGTACAGAGCGGTGCCATTGATACCATCTAAAACTTTTCATGGTGGAAACAAGCATACTGAGAGGAAAAAAAAAAAAAAAAAAAAAAGCGTATCGAACTGAACTGAACCATGCCGTACTGCTTGGAGGAAATGGGGCTTTAGTTGTAGGTTAATGGAGGCAATCCTAGACTGTGGGGGGCCAAACACCAGACATTTGCCTGGTTTACACTCTCTCTCTCTCTCTCTGGTGAATAATTCCAGAACTTGTTGTCCTCTTGACCCAAGCAGAGGAAACAGTCCTGCTTCCCATAATCTACGTCTGTGTGTGCTTGTTTGTGTGTGTCACCGCTGTTTTTTTTTAATGTGTGTGTATATGTGTGTGTGTGTGTGTGTGTGTGTGTGTGTCCACCCCCTCTCACTCTGAAGTGCATCTCTCTCTCTTTGAATGATGACCTCGCTTTCATCTCACTCCCCTCTCCTCTTTCCTTTCCTGTCTGCCCCCTGAGTGTCTCTTTAGAGTGCTCACAGTGTGTGTGTGTGTGTGTGTGTGTGTGTGTGTGTGTGTGTGTGTTGATGTTGAGGCTCTGTGCATTTCAGGAATCGTTATATAACTGTTCTGTAAGGTTGAGTTGGAGGGAGGAGAGGGTAAAACGGGGATGTGTAAATCCAGTCTGGGACATCTTCATGTGTTTTGCTGCTCTTATCTCTATAGGACATAATAACTATAAACTTGTGTCCAGTGTCATTAAAGCTTTTACATTTACTGTTCCAGACACACAATGTTTGGCAGCTCATTCCTGGAAATGTGGCGTACAGGAAATTATGTTTCCTGTTTTTCCTTTTCTTTTTTTTCTTTGATTGAAATAACTTGAACAAGAACATGGTTTTAAAATAGCCACTTTACATTATTATCTGAAGAGGAATAGTATTTGTAGCCTAAAGAAACATATTAGAAATATTCATCTGTTCTTATGTTTAGCTTAGCCAAAGTTGTTTGTGTCTCCAGTCCTGTTTGTTTGTGTGTTAGCAGGGTATTCAAAAAAGTCTTTTGGACCCAGTCTGTGTGAAAAATCTACCTAAATCTGACGTGCATGAATTTATTTTAACATAAAAGTACAATTAGACTGATATGTGTATTCATAATTTGGAACTAGCCCAATGTGAGTCCAGAGTCAGCACTGTTTGTGAGTGAACCCGAGTTGTGAAGACCTCTGGTGTAGCACGTCTGCCACAAAATTTTTATGGGTGGAGGTACTAGGACTCTAAATGTATTTTTAAATGTATTTTATTACATCTGTGATTTAATGAAACTTTTTTTATATCTCTCAGGCAGTAACTAATGTGATATCACAATAATCAAGGATTGCAAGTAAACTGTTTTTTGAAATGCCACCCTGAGACACATAAGCATACCACACACACACACACACACGCACACACACACACACTCACAAACACATACACACAAAGACAGGCTGCTGTCATTAGCAGCCAGATCAAGAAGTTTGTTATCACGTAGATGGACTGAAGGGGCGTTTTATGTAAGTTGTTTTTCAACATGCAGTGAGCTCATCACCAGCGTCTATGCTCCATTATGTTGAGTGTGTGTGTTGTCTATTTGTGTGTGTGTGTCTGTGTGTGTGTGCGCATGCATGTGCTGAAATTTGGGTTTGCCAGGCGTCATGCAGTGAACACGTCTTGAATGTATTTCTATGGGTGCGTGTGTGTGTGTGGTTTTAACTGAAAATCATGTGTGTGGTGGCAGTGTGTCCTTGTTTGTCCCGTCATCCCAGGCAGATTCTTGGCTGAACTACACATTTGTGTGTGTGTGTGTGTGTGTGCGTGTGTGTGTGTTAGTGTTTGTGTCCTGTCTTGTGTTTCATAAGCCGTCCATATTTATGATCCAGCTCTTACATAAGCCTCAGATCTGGTTCAGTGTGTCTCTGCCAGAACAACTTAGAGAGAGAGGAGGAGGAGAGAAGAAGAAGAAGAAGAAAAAGAAGAAGAAGAAGAAAGGTGAAATTGAAACACAGGCAGAAGAGGACATGGAGAAAACTAGAAATAAAGACGAGTTTAGGAAAAGATCGAGGAATAGAAATAAGACAAACAGAGTTAAAGGTGCCATACAGTGCCATTTTCATGATGTGTTTTTATTGGAGTGTGCTTTGGCTCAGGATGAGAGAAATCTTCTTCATGCTGTTTCGCATATGTAGTTTAGTTTAATGTCAGTTTGAATACATTTGAAAACTTAAATCCTCACAGGCTCCGGCTGGCAACAGCAGTTCCAGTGAGTCAAAGCAGGTTGTTGGGAGTTTCCATTTCAAACACAGTAAACATGCATGTTTAGAAAAATGTCAGCAGCTCGACAAAACAAGTCCTGTTGGATATAAGAATATCTGTACGGGTCTGTGTATAGAGTGACATTTAACCATTTGATCTTGTATATCTGACTACAGTAGGGGTGTCATCCACATCTGTGGCAAACCCATCTGAGCATATTTAAACAATATGTTTACCAGCACAGTGAACATATCATGCAAAGATTGGTTACGTGCTTTACTGAGATGATGCGCATGTTTGATTTTGCATTGTTGACATCACCTAATGATTCATTAAAATGATTTATATTGTCCTGTTAACTGACAGTTATAATTAATAGGTGTGTGACTTCAGGTGAAGCCAGCGCTGAGATCAGTTATAAGCAGACACCGTCCTTGTCTTTAAGAGAGGGGTGTCCTGGATGTGACCATTCTTAGTTTTTCATGGTTTAAATGTTTTTGAGTTGTGAAGCCGTCATGCTAACAAGCGGTTTCATGCCATTTCCACTGAGTCACTAACTGTTATACAAGCCATGAAGCTTTTCTGAGTTTGGTTATTTGTGAAATGATGGGAAATTAATCACAAAATAGTGGATTTTTTATGCTAACTTTAACATAGTATGTACAGTATTTCATAGACATACATAAAACAGCGGGTTTCATGCTTCAGAATCAAAGTCAGGTGTGCACTATAGAACAGTGAAAATACTACAGGTCTGAATGTTTTGAGATTTGATTCAGAAATTATTCCTTAATCTTGGCTTTATTTTTGTATGTTGAAATTTTACTATTTGTCTTAGGGCAGTCTCATTCTTTGCAGAATACTGCTAGTAATTTTGGCCTGTTTGTAAATTTCTTTAGAATCATGGATGATAAGATTATAAACTGATAATCATGCCCTGTCACAGTTTGTCCTTTTTTTTTATTTCGCTTTAAATAATGATCACTAATTTTCCACCTGTCTTCCCCACACAGACCAGTCCCACAGCGCCCCCTTCAGCTCAGAGAATGAGGCTCAGGGAGGCGACTCGGCTGCATGGCAGTGTACCCCTCCCCCATCTACCTCACCTTCAGGGGAGACGCCGGCCCACCCTCCTCCCTCCCAGCCTGCTTCTAGACCCCGATCCAGGTCGGCCAGCCAAAGTCCCTCCCCTCCCTCCGCCCTGATGGGACCCAAGAAGAGAAGCTCCAAACCGGCACACATGAGACGCAACATCAGGTACTGAATTCAACGTCCTCGCTTTAACTTGAAAGACTGTCTCAGTTAAAGGGTTCAAATGGACGCCCACATGCTCCTTGTGTGGGGATCAATACACAGTATATGCCCACATGTAGCTAAAAGCTGGATTTATCTGCAGTCCACGGACATCTGGAGTCACCTGTGACATGCAGTTCAATGTAGTAGCAAACAGAGTAAAAAAAAAAAGGGAGAACACAGCATTGATGATATACATTAAACACAATAACAAATCAGACTACAGGGCTGAGTTTCCTTCAATCGTTTTTTGACTAGATTTTAGAAATTGACTCAATGCTTGGCAAGGAGCAACCAGTCAACCTCGAGATGAAAGGGATTACGACAAAATCCCCTGAGTATGTTTCTGCTGAGGTGCAGAGTAAACTAACTCACTCAGCTTATTCAACTCATATTGTCTTTATAATAACATTCATTGCTGGCTGGATAATAGGATTTATCATCTCTCTAGTTTGTCTCTGGATTCCTTCATCCTTATCTCTGATTTCAATCTCATTTGAAGAACAAAAGCACACAATTACTGATGAAATCTGTCAGTGATTATGCAGCCGCATGCTCAGTCTGCAACTTCATTTCCTGCGGCTGCCAGAAACCATAATATAGCTCAGCCACAAGTATGCTGTTGCTTTACATAACAGCATCTTTACAACAACCTCAGACACAGATGCAAACATCTGTTTGTGTATATAAGTGTTAATGAGTGGAGTCATTTCTGTTAGTTACATGTTGCACTGTATTACATTACATCGGTTACATTTCCTCTGATCAGACTGTGCTGAACTTACGTATTATTTCCCCAGAAGTTCATCATTTACCTCATATTACTCTCTCTCTCCTGAAATGAAATTATGATGCTGTCAAAGTATTGGCAACTTTCTGCTTCTAGAGAGATATACTGAGGGGAGTGTGTGTAGGAGGCAGTGGCAGAATGCAACCCACAATGATAATAATAATCATAATAATAATAATATGAGAGGCACACATAGCTCTCATTCTAAACCATGATAGGTATTTATGGTATATTTTTCATATTCTTAATGTAGTTTGTCTATTATATATTTTTGTTCTTGACTTTTGCAGTACTCTGCCTTCATTTCCTCAATATTTTTATTGTGTACCCCGAAGTTGAAAACCTATTTGGCAAACCCTATTCTGATAGTTGAAAAATAAATATATAATATATGATGCACTGCAGGTGCATTAACACATGATATCTTAGATTTATTTAAATTGTAGTGAGCCTAATTTCTTCTTACATCCTAAAAAACAATCCTGAACAACAGCCAACACACACTGTATTGTTAATCGTCTTTTACTGTGTACTTTAGAAACAAAATAGGCTAAATTTTATTCTGGATTTCATGCTGGACTCCTCACTTTTTTGACCACTAAGGGGCAGACAAAGTCAAAAACATGCTAACGGACATGCTGCCCTGTTAAAGTCCTTGTAGCTAACTTGTCTAATAGCTAACGCTTTCACGCCTCCAGCAGACACTTAGCAACATTAGCATTCATTTGGAGTCATGTTTCTGTCCACTAGGACATGTAAGTCCACTGTCCAATTCTAATTTCAGTTGTGGTTTGTTTCCACTGACTCCTGAGAAAAACTCCTGGCTGTTAAACAGCTTAATATTTAATGCTAGGCTACATTCACTAGCTAGTTGCTAACGCTGTCCGCAGGTAGTTAACATTAGCTTGCGGTGGATTTATCAGAGCTTTTGTATCCAGTTGGTAGGGGTGTAACGGTACACAAAAATCTCGGTTCGGTATGTACCTCGGTACACAAGTCATGGTTCGGTTTTTTTCGGTACAGTAATGAAAAAAATAGACAACTATTAAATATCTTTTACTTATTGGTAACCTTATTAAAACATACCACCACAGAAGTTAACTCTTTTTACACAATTTTTGAATGAAACAAATATATCTAAAATCCTGCTTTTTCACATTGTTTGAATGAAAATAGAAATGTAAAAGTGAAAAATAAAATCCTGTTTTTTTTTTAACACATTTTTTGAATGAAAAATATAAATATACATTTCTGCTTTAACAGTTTTACTCAATTAAAATAAAAAGTATAGTGCAGCTGGTCAGCTTTAAAGCCTGATCAGATTCAGTTTTACTAGGAACTTACTTAGCTTTCCCACTTTGTTAAAGTGCAGTAAACAAAACATGCTTCAATATCTAAAGTGCAGCTTAAACAATTTTACTCAACTCCAATGGCGTTGGTTATTTCTTTAGCGCGATGGTCAGGGAAACGCTCTTTCTTTTTAAACGATGACGATATCGTAGTTTACACCAGATTGCTTTTTCTAGTCTTGCCGGTTAACGTTCAAACTCGGGTGGTGTCACTTTAGATGCGTTAGCATGTTAGACGTGTTTCCAAGTACATACCCGACCGCTGTTCTGCAGTGTTGGCACACTGCTTTTGTCTTGTCCACTTGTTTATTTCCATCTTCGTATTTTACCCTAAAACCAAAGTGTTCCCGAACGGAGGACTTAAGGTTTGCGGGTGGGTCTTCAGGTTTGTCAGGCTCACTTGCCATGTTGTCAAAATGTGAGAATGCGCTGCACAAAGTGAAAGCGGAGATTTACGGGACTCGGTCCGTCACTCAATTACGTCCGTCGGGGAACTAGATATTTTAAATGGTTCGGCTCGCAAAAACGGAATTAAAATAAAACAAAATAAAATAAAATAATATCCTGCGCCCAATAATTCGGTACAGGGTCGTGCTGAACCGAAAGTCGTGTACCAAACGGTTCGACACAAATACATGTACCGTTACGGCCCTACCAGTTGGAAATGGCTAGAAACAAAATTGATATGAGATTGAACCAAACTGTAAAAACTAACCAACTATTACACCAAAACTATTAGCTAAAAGAGTAATTTGATTTCATGCTAATATTTAATTTATAGTGGTTAATGTAGCTGTAAAGAAATAGTTGATACCTGGTTGTAACTCCAGTGCTATGACTACGCAAACTAATCACAAGAATAAATGCTGACATTTTGTGTTTCTTCAAACCATTGATATGTTAAATTTGCATGTGTCATATGTTAAATTTGTACATTTCACGTTATGTTTTTTAACTTTTTTAACTAGTCTCTAACATTGGTTTGCTGCTGTTTGCTGCTTGTCAACAGACTCGCCTGAGGAGAAACTCTGCTCATATACATGTCACTATAGCTATGTCACTTTAGAAACATTATGAAATCTACAAATGTTGCAATGTTGGGGCGGCAGTAGCTCAGTCCATAGGGACTTGGGTTGGGAACCGGACAGTTGCCTGTTCGAGTCCCCGTCCAGACCAAAATATGGAGCGTGGACTGGTGGCTGGAGAGGTGCTAGTTCACCTCCTGGGCACTGCCGAGGTGCCCTTGAGCAAGGCACCGAACCCCCCAACCGCTCGGGGTGCCTGACCAAAGGGCAGCCCCCTCACTCTGAGATCTCTCCACTTTGTGCATGTATAGGTCCTGTTTGTGCATGTGTGTGTCTTTCAGACCTGTGTGTAATTGACAAGCAAGAGTGAAAACATTGAATTTCCCCTCAGGGGGATTAATAAAGTAATTAAACTTAATCTTTGGTTTGCATAAATGTACAATGCCAAAATTTTACGCTGGTGAATGAAACCACATGTCAACCTACAGTTAACAAATACACTGACAATTGTCAGTTTGTGAAACCACATTTATACAAATGTTATTTTTGTGTAGGAAGTTACTGAGGGAGCATCAGTTAGAGGCCGTGACCAAAGCCGCCCAGCAGGATGAGCTGGAGAGGAGGCGACGTCTGGAGCAGCAGAGCAAACAGGATTTCCCCGTACCACTGCTGCCTGAATACACAACTGGTGAGAGCATGTACCTCTCAAAAAAACTTACATAAATACTAACAACACCCACTGGTCCATCAAATGCCAATTTTCCAACATGTACATCCAGATAAATCCCTAATCCCAACTGTTAAACAAATCATTTAAGCTGTGGGGTTCAACTATGTCTCACATCTTCTTTAACTGGGGACTAGTAACCTGCCTGCATACAACATAACGTCTTCTTTCCTCTCTTTCCTTCATCTGCTGTATCATTCCTATCCTTCTCTCCAGGCGATGTGACAAAGCACGTGTCATCGTCGTCAGCATCGACGGCATCGCAGCAAGAAGTGAAGTCGGTCAGGCAGGGAGTGATCTGCCTGGACTCCAGCAGCACTGGCGTCAGCGAGGATGACAACAAGACTAATGTGCCCACCTCCGCCACCACAGAGAGCACACACAAAGCAGGTGAGACAGACTCACACAGTTGTCTTGGAGCAGTTTAGATCAGCAAAACTGCTCAAAGAAGTTGTTTTAATATTTCATAATTTATTCATAATTGTCTGAAACAAATACTTTAGATAAGAGGAGTGTTTATACCTTTTTTCTACAAGTATTATGACTTGAGTGTCTTTTCCTTGAAAGAAATGAGGTGTTTTATTTTGAGTTAAATTTCAGTGGATCTTTTTGTTACTGTTTGCTAGCATTCTTCCTTTTCATTAGCTGAGATAAAAGAGTGAGGTTATACGTAGGACAAAAGCAGACTGACGGGCAGAAGTGCAGAACAGCTTTCTATCACGTGTGAAAAAACACTTTTGGAAATCAGGATAAGGATAAACTCCTTAAATCTGTGGCTCATGTCTGGTGTATTAACAATAAAAATCTAAATTTTCTAGAGAAAATGCATTTCATATAAAGTACAACCCCTTTTCATGTTAACCAGGCTATATTTCTATCATAAAATAATGACGGAGGAGTTCAGATGCCTGAATTAGTGCCCCACACATCGAAGGTCTCCGACCCAGATAACCCTTGAACCTCTGATTGCGTAAGTGGGCTAGTAGGTCAGTCATGAAAGCAGATAGCGACACAGAGCTGTGAAAACCCATCATCCAGTTGTATATTCTGAGCTGTCCGCATAGCTTGGCAGAGCCTTAAATAGGCCAGATACTAATTCTTAAAATGCCTTAACAGCCCAGTGTGAGCATTGGTACAACGTGTGAAGAGTTTGTATTTCACATGTCAAGTGTGCAAGTTACACCAACATTGAAGTCCACTTTTATAAAACGATGGATAGATTCACAGATTTTCAACTCACTTCCATTATTTATTATCATTTTTAAAGGGACAGTTCACCCCCCAAAAATCAATCACATATTTTTCCTCTTACCTGTGGTGCTGTTTATCAGCCGTAGAAATGTCTGCCCTTTTTTTCATATATTTGAAAAACTCAACAAGATAATTCACAGACCTTGTCGTGAGCAGTTTCACATGAGAACATTTTTTCTTTCTACCTAACTGCACCCATCAATCGCATCACTGCACAGAAGGAAGTGTGCATCTACTCATGAGTGAGAGGCTTGTGCATTTCACAGTGCAAGATGTAAACATTGAAGGCGTCCTCCTCTGCTGAACTGTAAAGGTAGCTAGCTTAGAGATGCTAGGTGAGTTAGCAGTAGATTCACACTTTCGCCTGTGCTGTGATGCGGTTGGAAGAAGTTTGGAAGAAAGAAAATAGCTCCTACATGAAACTGCTCACAACAAGGTCTGTGGATTATCTTGAATAACCAGGTCAGGATTTTTGGAAAGAGACATTCCCGTTGAACTTTCAGATGTATTTATTTTTTGGTGCCTTGAGTACCACAAGTTGAGTGCTATCTTGTTCCAAAGAAAGCAGGCAGACATCTCTTCTGCCGATATCTACAACACCTGGCAATTCACACTAAAACAGTCTAGATTGTTTTTTATTTTGGGATGAACTGACCCTTTAACATGGCTTTGACGATAGCTTCTGTTCCCTAAAAACCTGACATTCTATGGAAGTTTAAACGGTCAAATATCGTGTTAAAAAGCAGAAGTTCACAGGTCAGAAGCAGGCGGTTGTTTAAAATAAAGACCTCACATGTTTTATGATCCCTCTTTCAGTACAGCATATAAAGAGGTGTGAAGAAAAAGACATAAGCCTCTTTCAAACATGGAATGTGTAACATTGCTGTTAAAGTAATGGATTTACAGTTTTCTATCATAGGTGTTAGTGAATGCACCGTTATGAAAAGAGCTACAATCACAATAAGAATGAATGAAAGTTGAATGTTCAGGCAGAGAGGTCAGACTGATGCTCTGATGATAAATGGGATTTTTTTTTTAAATGTTTATTCTCTTGACTTTGATGTCATCACAATTAGACCCTTCAGCTGCCCAGTTCAGCCACAGACCGTGAAGCCAATCCATTGCTGCAATTTGAGGTCCACTACCTTGCTCCAAGGCACATCTAGCAGTCACTGAGGGAGGGATCTATCAAAGGAAAATATCACTTGAATACACAGTTCTGGTAGTTTTTATGTCTGGTGGAAACATCACATCTCTAAAGCATCAGTCTTTCAGAGATTAAGCAAAGCAACCCTAATAGCCTCATGACAGCCATGCGTTTATTAAATTACACACTGTTTCAAATTGCTTTCTGAGCCCAGGGGTCTGGAAAGTGGGCACATTAAAAGGCCGCATCAGCTTCAATTTCCAGGAAATAAAACGGAGGATTGAAAAACAACCCGAATTTTGAATGAGGTTTTTATTCAGAAAGCCACAAAACAGCAGACATGTGGGCCAGTGTTCGTCTGAAACCTCGGGATGATTTGTCAGAATGAATGTTGGTGATAATGTTCAAAAACGTGTCCAAAGAAAACACCAACCGCTAAATCAATCAGAGTGAGTGACTTCTACGGTCATCTTAGCCTTCGGCAAAGACAATATGAACGAAGTTTAACTTTATTTCAAACCCTGGCACTATTGCAGATTGCTTTGAATTCTTTCAGGGGCGAACGGACTCCACAACCTCTGTGGAAACATTTTAACCCAATTAGTGAAAGTCTGCCTACACATTTAAACGGCTGAGGTCAAAAATCTCTTCTGTTCCTGTGAAGAGTGTGTGTGTGTGTGTGTGTGTGTGTGTGTGTGTTTGTGTGTGTGTGTGTAGTTTTCGTAGATTAGCTGCCATGTGCATCAGAATATTTAAAACCTCCTCAGGGTACATCATGTACCGTTCCCTTATTGCCCAAGTAGTCTCACACACACAAACACACACACACACAAACACACACACATGGACACACATTCACAGAGCCACTCAAACAGTCAAGGATAAACACACACTTTTAACACACACTCATTTGGGGATAAACACACATAGGTTCTGTATTGAAAGAAGACATAGGCAAACTGAAGGCACACACACCTACAACACAAACACACACACAAATAAGAGCGAGAGGTGAGATGAACACAGATAATGTGTCGATTTGGGAGCAGAGACGGACAAGAGTGAAAGAGAGAAAAAACAAATAGAGGGAGGGGAGGAAGAGAGATGAAGGGAGAGAGTGTCTGTGGGGCAGATCAGAGCGGGTCTATGGAGCAATAAAGCTGGCTAATCCTGGTTATGAGCCAGAACACACACACACATACACACACACACACACAAACACACATAATGAACACACACACACACTCGCAATGGCACAGTGACATTTCTAGTTGGGGTTGCATAACCAGTCTCCCCCTCCACTCTAATCCTACTTGTATAACCAGCCATTCACTGCAGTTATATAAGCTCTCTCTCTAGCACACACACACACAAACACACACACACACACACACACAAACATACTGACACACACACCTCCTCTCCCTGTTGTGCCCCGCCAGCTTGTGTAACTTTCACCACTTGATACCGTTGACGTTGAAGTCCTTTTTATCAGATATGGATTTCAATCTGTCTGCTTCACACACACACACACACACACACAAACACACTCAGTGACGTCTGTGTTTGATGTAACATCACGCTCATGACGGAGCCACTGTTCACCACATCACTTGAGATGAAGGTCAGTGATGAGGGCCAATGATTGTTAAGAATTGTTTTCATTTTTTTGCAGTCATTCAGTGAGAACATGTACTGAGTTCCTTGTTCAAGACTTCCAAACGTTGTCTTGTGTTCAGCTTTTTAGTTTCCTCTGAAAAAGTTTACACGGTTCTTCATCAGAAGGCGCTATCAGAGAGAAATAAACGCCCCTCCTAAAATGGACCTCCAATGGAATTTTTGGAATTTCCTCTAATGTTTGTCCATTATTTCCTGTTAGTTTGTGTGGAAGTATTTTTCATTTAAATGCATATGTGAGAGCAAATTCAAATCCTTTTGAGTTGCTTTGTGAACTTTGATGTAGAAGAAACAGTTTGCAGGACTTGTTGTGTAATTTTTTTGAAACATTGTCTGCTTCCTCCTGTGCAGATGTGATCGATCTGAGCTCAGGCGAGGATGACGCCATCGTCCACGTCAGCAGCGAATCGGCCATCGAGGAAGAAGAGAGCGAGCCGAGCGGCGCGCACGCTAATGACGTCCTCAACCGACCAGACACCCAGGGCAGGGTGCTGGTCAACGTGAACCATCCATCTACGGAGAAGGACATTTTCTTGTCGCCTCAGCTGGCGCGAGCAGTCAAACCTCACCAGGTATTGTTATTATTACTGCTGCAAGCAAAAACAAATGCTTGGCCCTTTTTGTCTGGTTGTCTGGTCCAAATAAGTGTCTGAGTATTTTAAAGTGTGTTTCATTGTTGTGTCCATATCTTCCTTTCATACTGCGAAAATGACTTCCTTCATAATTCAGATTTCTTGACCTTTTCTAAGTCAGGGACAGCAATGTGTGATCTTTCCTTCACTTTTAATGAGATATCATCTCTACTTTTTCACCACCAACCTTCTACACTGTTCACCTGTCTCTCACTTCCTCCCACGCTCCAATTCACCACCTCGCTGTCTTATCGCCATGGCCACAGCTTCAACTTTCTCTCGTCACCATCGTCCCTCTCTTTCTGCTTTGGTTCCATCACTAAATTCTCCTTCTCTTCTCTTTTCCGTCTCCTCCTCAGATCGGTGGAATCCGCTTCCTGTATGACAACCTGGTGGAGTCCGTGGAGCGGTTCAGCAGCAGCAACGGATTCGGCTGCATCCTCGCTCACAGCATGGGCTTGGGCAAAACGCTGCAGGTCATCTCCTTCATCGACGTCCTGTTCAGGAACACCCAGGCTCACACCGTGCTCGCCATTGTACCTGTAAGCACCTGTGGACTTGATGCTGTAATACAAGGAAATATGGAGGGGTGGATCAATAAGTGCTCAGATGGAGACGATATGATAATGAATAACAATACTGATTCAATCAAAAAAATTACAAACCTCAAATTTATGCTAATAAACGTGAATTATTATTTTGGTGACAAAGTAAATGGATGTGTGATTAAGTTATCACAAGAAGCTTAACATTTGCTGCGGTTTACAATGAAATTCATCATTAATTAATTCATTGGTAATTTAGGATAAACTTTGTAGCCTGTAGATTGTCAGAAAGACAAAAATGCCCATCACAAGATGTACCCCAGCCCACAATTATGTCTTAAAATCACAGTTGCTAAAAAAAAAAGCTATAACATACCATATCTCTGGTGCTTTTACTTCTAAAATGTCTAAAATGAGTGATCCAAGTTTAAACTGTAAAATTTTCTATCAGTCAGTGGATCATTTCAGCACGAGATTACACATGAAGAGAATCAATATGGGGATGATGAGGACTGAAGATTGACTCAGAGTATTTATCCATTACTTCCAGGTGAACACGCTGCAGAACTGGCTGTCAGAGTTCAACACGTGGGTCCCGCCCCCGGAGGCAATACCTCCAGATACCGACCCAGGACTGCTGACGCCTCGTGCCTTCAAGGTTCACATTCTCAACGATGAACACAAGTGAGTAATGAAATCATTTTCTTTTTAGCTCCCACCTGCTTACTTTATACATAGGAAAATTGAACACAGTCACTTTAAGAGAAACACGCATCATGACATTGTTCTTGAAAGTAGATAAAGAGTTTTGATTTCTTAAAATAACAAGAAGCAAGAAAGACACACACATGCAGCAGGGCCATTGGTTAATTTAAGGCCATCTCAGGAGGCTGGATACAGTTACATTCATGCAAAGCAGTGAAGAGACTTTACTTATCGCTTTAAAAAAAGACAACGCTGACCCTCTGATCCAGCCTGCCTCTTCACTATATCCCCATCTGGCTGGCCTTCTCTTCTGTCTCTCCATCATCCTCTTTCTCGACAGCTGCCTCGGTTGGAAAGATTTTCAAACTCTCGTGCGTTGTGTGTGTGTGTGTGTGTGTGTGTGTGTGTGTTGGGATTAGAGGGGAAAGAAGGAATGCTGCAAAATGAGTGCACAGTTTCGTGATACAGTCCTGTTGGGGAGTGACACAGTAACCTCATTCTATCTTAACAGCATTAAAAATTAACAGGCATTTGTTCCTGCTGTTGAAGCACTGCTGAAATCATTGTTATTCATTCATAAGTAAATGGTAATTTCTTACAATTGGATGATTGAATGCATTTATCTTTGATAAAAAATAATCTGCTGAGCTTTTTTTTTTATTTTGCTTTCATTCAAATATTTCATACTTTTCATTCTATGTCATCGTGCTAAAACCCCCACATATTTTAAGACATTTATTACAGCATAATAAACTTTAGGTACTTTAAGTTTACAGTGCCTTCGTACAAAGTTCTGTATTGCTTTGGGGCACCACAGAGAGGGAGAGGGTGGTGTTCAGTCTGTACAAATGAAGCAGATGATATCACAGATTCAAAGTAAAGTAAAAGTAACATAAAAATGTGTAAAATTCTCTCTGTGACAGGAATTAATTGAGGTTTCAGTTTTAAGAAAGACGACAGTAACTGAACTTGCCTTTTCTTACGTTACCCAGGAACACAACGACCAGGGCCAAGGTGGTGGAGGACTGGGCACGGGACGGAGGGGTGCTGCTGATGGGCTACGAGATGTACCGCCTCCTGTCGCTGAAAAAGAGCTTTGTTGCGGGGAGGAAGAAGAAGAGCAAAAAAACAACGGGACCTGTTGTCATCGACCTGGATGAAGAGGACAGGCAGCAGGAACTGCTCAAAGGTGCGAGGGATGAGGAGGAACAAAGAGGAGTGGGAAATGGACATATGGGCAAAAATTGATATCTGCTACTTTTTAAAGCATCAGTGTAGAATATCATTGAAGACATTTTGCCTGTTCTCCTCCTCCAGGTATCGAGAGAGCCTTGGCCCGGCCTGGTCCAGACGTGGTGATCTGTGACGAAGGCCATCGCATCAAGAACTGCCACGCCAGCACGTCACAGGCTCTGAAGAACATCCGAACCCGTCGCCGCGTGGTCCTGACCGGCTATCCGCTACAGAACAACCTGATTGAGTACTGGTGCATGGTTGACTTTGTGCGACCAGACTTCCTAGGTATGGGGAAAAGTCAGCGTTTGGTTTTAGGCGATAAATCGCTCCAGATCTTTTTTAAGATCAATAGACTGATTTTAGTTGTTTGTTTTCTGTCAGTCCTCTAACTACAGTTTTTACATCCTGTATGTATTTCAGGTACGCGGCAGGAGTTCAGCAACATGTTTGAGCGTCCCATTCTGAACGGGCAGTGTGTGGACAGCACGCCTCAGGACGTCCAGCTGATGAGGTACAGGAGCCACGTCCTGCACAGCCTGCTGGAGGGCTTCGTACAGAGGTGAGACACCTGCCTTTATAAACCCAAAACTACTGCCCAGAAAAATAACTTGACCTCCTTTTAAAGCTTTAAAAGAGATTACAAAGGTTCCACTGACTTTGGCTCTCATAGATCTGACACTTTCCCACCTGCTCTTCAGTTTTCCAAACATTTTCCAAACATTGAACGTAACTTGCCTTTATTCCAGACGAGGTCATGACGTCCTGAAGGACCAGCTGCCCTCTAAAGAGGAACATGTGATCTTGGTGCGTCTGTCTCCGCTGCAGAGGGCGCTCTACACAGAGTTCATGAACCGCTTCAGAGAGGCAGGGAACACCGGCTGGCTCAGCCTCAACCCACTGAAGGCTTTCTGTGTCTGCTGCAAGGTGAGGAGGAGGAGGGCTTGTGTGTGAGATACTACCTGGATACAAAAGGAATTCTGGTTGAGATTTTTTTAAAGCAGTGTCATAGACAGAGTTACCAAAGCCTTTATGTAAAATTCCATGATTAATTACTTGATAATCTGCAGTGTCAGGATGAACATAAGTTACTTCTACAAATGTCTTCTTGCTCTGTTTGAGTTTCTGCAGTCATTATAATACTATTACACAAGTTACTATCCATGTCAACATGTTTTCGCACCAGGATATATTTATCATACTTGACAGTGCTTTCGTAACCCTGATCTCCCATCACTCTGCAGATTTGGAACCATCCAGACGTGCTGTACGAGGCCTTACAGAAGGAAAACATGGCCAGTGACCAAGACTTAGACCTTGATGACATCACCTCCACAGGCCCCGCCCGATGTCCAACCACACCCAATCAAAAGTCCAAGCCCCTGGAGAACCCTAACCCCATTGGTGGACTGAGTCTCAACCAGCTGCAGGAGAAAGCCAACCAGGTCATCACTTATGAATGGGTACGTTGTTTTGGAACTAACTTCATATTATTGCTTTCTGTAACACAAAGCTGCACTATGCACTTTTTTAAAAACACCATCAGTGCTCTCAACCTAAATCTCAGTCAGATCGTGAGCAGAACATTGTGTTCCCCCTAACTGAGATGCTGCAGTCAGTGCAGTGCTGCCACCCACAGTGGAATAAAGAGAAATACAAAGAGAATTATGAAATGTCCATTTATCCACAATAATCCAGATCAAATAAGGCTGGACTCACTAATGTATACCACAGTAGATTATGTCCATCCATTTTAGTCTGCAAAATTTTAACACTTACCTTTTCCTCACATTTAGGGCCACTAAAATTTTGTCCATAAGCCTCATTACACTCATTGGCTGGAGTCTTTTGCCTTGCAGCAATGTGTGATTTTACATTCTTCTAGGAGGCACTGTAAACGTTTGCTTCATGAAGACATCATGATGCGTCTTAAAACACTTAGAATAGGTTTAATCACGCAATATATGTTGTGTTGAATTGTGTGAAGCTAACCATTTAAGTAAAGGTTATGGTGCTAGTCGTTACCTGTCTTTTCTAATAAGGTTTATAAATCAGCAGTGCACCCTCACTTCTTTTAAGTCATTCTGAGTCACTTAAATAAAGACAACATCTGTTCAGCTGAACTATAAAGGTAAAGGTGATGTTAAGTAGTTCAGTACATTTAATGGTCTCCCTCTTCACATGTCCAGGCAAAGGATATCATGTATGACTACAAGCCCGGCATGCTGGAGAACTCTGCCAAAATGGTTCTGCTGTTCCATCTGATAGAGGAGAGCGTCAGGAACGGAGATAAAATCCTCGTTTTCAGGTACAAAACACAAGACGTGATATACCAAATAAACACCAACTAAAAACTTGGTCAAAATTCTACTTTGCATTACATTTACATTACTAAAGGTTTTTGGCATGTTATCCAGTCCCTAATTTTGCCTATCTTTCTTTCTCCTGCAGTCAGAGTCTGTCTACCCTGACAGTTATTGAGGATTTCCTGGCTAAGAGACCTGTACCTCCCTCACCCAACACAGCCAGCAGAGACAGACCCAACCAGAACTGGGTCCGCAACCTCAACTACTACAGTAAGTGATCAGTAATGTTCCTTGTTCAGTATATATGTTAAGCTCAATGACAGGTGACTCATGGTGTAGTTCAGTGGAAGATGGTTGAATGTTCTGTTCAGTTTATTACCACAGTTTTTCTATCTACCGTGCATAACTGATGGTACATACTGAGAAATCTGTTGTTTTTTCTTGAGGCTCTCTGACTACAGTAGTTTGGTTGTGCAGTGGTTCTGCTCCTCATTGACCTACAATGAGTGCTGCCACCTGCTGGTGTTTCTTGATAACAGCCAGACTTTGGTTTATGGTCCTCCACAGGGGCAGAGAGGGATTCTCAGCTTTTGTATAGCTGGTGTTTGTGTATTACAGGGATATTTAAATAACTGGAAAATATCAGCTGTATCCACAAAGTCAATATGTCAATCAAATAAAAGTGAACTGAGCTTAATTAGGTCCATGGTTACCTTATTTTACACATTGTTATCTTTATTAAGAACTTGTGTACGCTGCACACATTTGAACTGTAGATTACATAAAGTAGGAGGAGAATCAAATCCACAGGAATACAGTTGCTCTGTAAAGTGAAGCCACCCTGTTAGTCAGGACTGTTCTAACTCTCCTTTGGTTGTGTGATGTCTTAAAGGATTGGATGGAAGTACAACAGCCTCAGAGAGAGAGAGACTGATAAACCAGTTCAATGATCCGTCCAACACCTCAGCGTGGGTCTTTCTGTTGTCAACCAGGTACAACAAACAGTAACAGTAAAATTAAAGGAATATTCCATCCACAAAATGGTCATTTGTGTATCAGTTACTCACCCCGTGTAACATTGTTTTTTTCCCCCCTACAAATTCAACGTGACATGGGATGAGTGATTTATATACAAATGATCATTTTAAGGTCAAGGCATTACATAGAAATAGCAAACATAACCCAAATTTCTGACCTCTCTTGGCCTCAGGGCTGGCTGTCTGGGTGTAAACCTGATTGGAGCGAACCGTGTGGTGGTGTTTGACGCCTCCTGGAACCCGTGCCATGACGCCCAGGCTGTGTGCCGCGTGTACCGCTACGGTCAAAGGAAGCCTTGTCACATCTACCGGCTGGTGTGCGACTTCACGCTGGAGAAGAAGATCTATGACCGGCAGATCTCCAAACAGGGCATGTCAGGTGAGTCAGAAAATGCATTGATGACTTAATGTTTGAATATTCCTGTAGGAAAGAAGTGATCTGAATGTGCAGTTGTTTTTCATTTCCTGTCATTCATACTAAAGATAGAGTGGGGAGTTTGTGGATGTTTGCAAAATAGTGTTATTCCTTACTGATGAGTGATAAATGAGAGTGTTATCCAATTTCAATCATTTCTTCTTGGTACATAAACAGGGTTTTGGGTATGTTTTTGAGCATTTTGTGTGACGCCCTGAGAGTCCTGGCTGAAATAGCAGCACAATCGTATTACACGAACCAACACAGAAATAAACAAAGGGAGGAAGAAGCAAAACAGTAGAGAATGAAAAAGGAACTGAACTACATATAATGATCAGAATGGAAAATCTAAGTCGTATTAAAACACAATAAGCTCAGTTCATGTAAATTTCTTCTTGAATATACAAACATAGAGCACTCTGTCTTCCTCTCATGAATATACTGTATTGTGTTTATCACTGCCTTTGGCTGACAAATCTGTCAAACAACTGTCAGTAATCAGACTCACTGAAAATCCCAGTCTAGGCTATTCTGTGTGAGCACCCAGCAGACAGACAGACCCCCCCTCAGAAACTAAATAATCAGCTTTGTGTTGAAACCACAGTTCTTCTGCCAAGAGGCTCTTGTCTGACAGAGTAAACGGTCTCAAGTGTTTGCTTTAAGCTTTGACTGGCGAGACAGACACATTGAGGCCACTTATGCTTCGGAGAGCTGCAGGATATATTTATATTTTTTTATACAATTTTCTCTCTTTTACCTTCATCATTTCATTTATCCTCCTCCCTGTCCACACATCCCCCTCCCTTAAACCCTTCCTTTTTCTCTCTCTTCTGTCCGTCTCATTCCGTCCCTCCATTAGACCGGGTGGTGGACGACCTGAACCCAGTGCTGACCTTCACCAGGAGGGAAGTGGAGTCCCTTCTTCACTTTGTAGAGGAGGAGCCGGACCCCTCTCAGGTCCATCTGCAGCCCCAGGACAGCTTGGAGAGTGTCCTCATGAGGGCTCTGCACCTTTATCCTCACCTGATTACTAAGGTAGGAGACTGAGGTCTCTATATGCCAGTGATTCCCAACCATATACCAGATACCACAGGGCACATGGAAATATTGTGGTTTTAGCTCAATTAATTAAAAAATAAAACAACAAATTGATTAATATATCCATAGACCGAGTCAGCTGTCATTTGAATACAGTGTGTCGCACTTGAGAGTGTATGAGAAGCATTTAGCAAGCAAGCAGAGAAGTCTACACAGCTAGCTAGTGATGTGTAAATGCTAAAAAAAAAGTAGCTAAAAATTATGAATTTACAGTTCAAATAGTTAACTAACCAAAGGTAATGAATATGTAGTTGAATTAGGGGAGCTACAAGTAATGGCTAACATCCAGCTTTTGCCATTAGCAGTATAAATGCAAACTTGAACAAACCAACCTAAACATTGACACTCTAAGTGTATGAAAAAAAAACGGTAATGTAAAATTGTATTAAAATATTATGAATAGTGTTAAATATTATTATCCACTTGACGATAAATTCAAATGAACGCATTTAGACTGACGGGTGGTGCTGATGAAAGGGTGCTTGAGGTCATCTGATGGAGGTGCAGGGGTAAAGAAAAGGTTGGAAACTACTGCAATTCGCCCCCTATAGATGTTTAGATGTAGGACATGTGTGTGTTGCCTTGCCTTAAAAATTCTGCATCATTCATTGTGGTCTTATGAGGCTCAAAATGTACACAGGACAGGTGTCATTTTTAAGTAGGCTGCAGAAAAGATGATTGACAGTCCTCTACTAATTCAGTAATTCACTGGCTGCTTGGGATTGTCAAACTTCTCATTTCTTTTTCCATCTAAATCCATTTGTTGAATAAATCTGAGGTGAGAACTACGTCAAGCAGATGCAGTCAGGCTCTGCTCTATATTTATAACACTGTTTTAAATAGCTCATGAGGTTCTGGAGTTTGAGAGGCGGTGAGTCAGCTCGTAATTAAACCTGCTGGATTCTCAGCGGATGTTTTCCAGACTAAACTGTCGTAGCAAAAACAGAGCTCACAGGATTTAAAGCTGGCTGTGTGAGGCAAAGAATCTCTCATTTGGCACATTCATGTGTTGTATTGTGGCTAATTAATTTGTGTAAGCTTGTAGGAATTCAAATTCTCACTTGTTTTCACTTGATTGCAGTTTAAAGGATTTAAGCATGTGAAGGCTTCCACCACATTGAAGCACAAAGATGGCATTGTGCCCCTATGCTTCTTTGAAAGTGGAAAAAAATGATGATGCCTGAGGAGAATGATGCCTATTTAACATCTTTTCTTTTTCTTCCCTCCAGCAACCATTCCCCCACGAGTCCCTGCTGATAGACCGCAGGGAGCTGAAGCTGAGCAAGGCTGAAAAGAAGGCAGCAAAGAAAGGTTACGAAGAGGAGAAGAGGGCATCTGTGCCATATACCCGCCCTTCCTACGCTCACTACTACCCTGCCAGTGATCAGAGCCTCACTAACATCCCTGCCTTCAGTCAGAGAAACTGGTCAGTGACTCACAGCAGCAACAAAAAAAGATACTTTTGAATTTTATTAAGAACTGATGAACAATTCCCAAACCAGGTTTTAAAAATAAACACAAGTCATGAACTAATAAAAAAATAAACTCTCTGTTCAGGCGTCCTCCTCCTCGCACTGAAGAGAAACCAGTGGCCAGTGTCCGGCCAGTCCAGTCAACTCCAGTTCCCATGATGCCCCGACAGGCATCTGCAGGCTCTGCACCAGGCAACGACTCATCAGGATCCAGCCTCGGAGGTTTTCCTGTCAACTGCCTGCAAAAAGCCGGGGTTTTTGTACAGAGGATCGTCACCACTACTGGTAGGCAAACTGTACATGTTCTGGATCTTATTTTTGCCTTATTATTATTATTGTTATTAAATTCTCTGTTTCCACACTATTTTTATTTAATCTTGATTCAGTTATCCCTTTTATACCAAGAATCAGCCACTCGTCATGAAGTTGAATTGAAGTTATACTCTTTGTAATTTATCTTTCTTGGTGTCTCTTTCAGACATAGTGATTCCAGGTACCCACAGCTCAACAGATGTACAGGCCAGGATCACTGCTGGAGAGAGCATCCACATCATCAGGGGCACCAAAGGTACAATAACTCTAATTTTCCCCACCCTACATGATACTAAACTGAATATCAGTAGGGCTGGACTGTTGTTCAGACAAAACAATAAATTAATTAGCATGTTTTTTTTTTTAATCCTGCATAGTATATCTTGAATGAAGTAGGTCAGAGTAGACTTTGTGTGTACTAATCATTTCTTTCCCCTTTGTCTGTTTTAGGGACTTACATCAGGTCATCTGATGGTCGCATCTTTGCCATCAGAGCAGCTAATAAGGCCAAGACTGCAGAGGAAAGTACTACAGCACCACCCAAAGGTAGGATGATGTATTACAAGAACACACTTCAACACACAAAATATGACAGACGTTATAGTATTATTTTAAGCTAACCCAGCCCATGTTTGCTTGGGGTTTAAATAGCCTTTAAAAGCTAATATCCAACCCCTTGTTTGTCTTGTCAGACTCCCAGGCCCTACCAGAGGAAGTGTCAACCAATGGCAGCAACGGTTGCCTGTCACCTGACAGAAAGCAGCAGGTACCCTCCAAGCCTGTGCCCCGCCCTCTCTCACCGGACAGCCCGGAGATAATCAGCGAGCTGCAGCGCTACACGGGTGGCACAGGAGCTGGCACCACCACTGGCACTGGAGCACAGCCAGAGAGCAACATGAACAACCTGCCAAATGCCAAACTGGCTCAGACAAATAGCAGCAGTGGGAGCAGTTTTGCCAGTGGAAATATGAGCCACCATGATACCTCTGTGACAAACGTGATCCAGCCCAACATGGACGCCACTGCAGCCCAGGACCTGAGAACAGGCTCCAAGCGTAAAGCCTCCACCCCGTCTCTGGAGGAGCGGCCCAGTAAGCAGTCCTCTGCGGACAAACACTCCTCAGCCCCTCTGGCCACTCAAGGCTTCCCCTTCACCGGGGCCTACGGTCTCCCCCCTCTGGGCCTCAACCCTGCCATGTTAGGTGGGTCACTGGGGCACCCACTCTTCATGGGGGCAGGCTCGCCTTACTTCCAGCCCCCCCACACTCAACTTGGTGACCCCAGTTACATGTACCCAGATCTGTTCGGCTTCAGCGGGGCCAGCGCAGTCCCCACTTCCTCATCCTCCTCCTGCTCGACGACAACCACTGCGGCTGCCGTCTCATCTTCCTCATCATCTTCTGCATCGGTCAAAGCTGCCAATTCAGTTCCAGGAGCCCTGCCACCATTCATGCTGAGCCCCAGCATGGTGGGCATGGCTGGGATGCTCCCACCAGGCTTCCCTCTGTCTTACAGTCAGTCTCTGGCTAGCCTCTACACTGGGTCCATGCTCCCGGGCGGGCTGCCTGGCCCAGCCGCCACTCCTGGGCCAGCTGGAGCCAGCTTTCTCTCCCAGTACCCTCCCACTGCTGCCTCCGGTTCCTCCTCATCTTCTCCTTCCTCTTTTTCCCCGTCAGCACGGTCTGAGGGCCACCGGGGCCCGGTGCTGATGAACGGCGGGAATATCAGCAGCGCCAGCAGCTCGGATGATGACGATGTAATTGAGGTGAGGGGACAGTGACAGACAAATGATGTGTTTGTTTGAGCGAGCTTGATTCAATTTAAAAGTCATCAAAATAGGATGACATCCTGTTTGCCAGGAGGAAGGCATCAAAGGGCCTGTGCCTGAGGCTGTGAGGGAAATGGACAAAAAAAATGAAAGACAGTTGATGTAATGACAACTGAGCCCCTGCAAAAGTGTTTCCTCTGTTCGTCTCCACTGCCTTGGAGAAACAGTCTGAAAGGGGATTGAACGCAGACTGAACACAGAGCGACAAATCTTAATGCTGAATATCAGAAGATTAAACCCAAGGAAGAATAAAAGCTCCAGAGGGAAGAAGAAGAAGAAGAAGAAGAAGAAGAAAATGAAGATCAAAGGACTTCGGGCTTCCAAGTTTTTGTCCAATACTGGCATTGAAATACTAATCACTGGACTTAGAACTGCTGAGTGTGGGCCTGCAGTGACCACAAATGGCCACTAGTTGTAGTGTTGACTTTAGAGATTCTAGTTCTGCAGCTTTGCTAAATGTCAAGACTCTTTTGCTTTTTTCAGCTAATTAAAAAAACGACAGTAGGGTGGAGTTGCTTATAAAAAAAATGGTTTGATAATTAAGTTAGCTGGTAGTAACGTTTGTTAAATATCAGTAACTGAAATGGTAGTTTGTCAGTCGTCGAATAATGCTACTGAATATTTCTTCAAATGGTAAAAGATCAACAGAACTTCATAAAAGCATTTTGATTGAACCCACTAATTCACTGCCAGGACAGGGGTATTGTACGTTTTGTTCTTGAAGAAAAAACAACAACAAAGAAGCGAGATCATCTTGAATTATCAAAGAGGCATTTGAGGCTTATCGAGGTTGAGGTTAAAGGCAATTACTGAAACCTTAAAACTCTAATGAAAGAATGTATGCTTAATCAAATGCCTTTAAACCAGGTCTTTTTGAAAAAGACTCCTTCTATTTAGGCATCAGACGTGGGAAGATCTGATTTTTTTTTTTTTTGGTGCATTTTATATTTATGTAATCTCTTTTACTTTTTAAAAGAAAAAGAAAAAAAATGCCTAAAAACAGCCAGGTGAAAAAGAGAAAAAAAACTGTGTTCTTGTGAGGTGTCCTCCTCGTAGCGGAGAAACAACCAACAGAAAATGCCTTTTTGCCTCCATCTTTCTGAATGTTAACTGTGAGAGAGGAGAGGTAAAGAGAGACGGGCAGTCACTGCGGCTCTCTGAATCTCACCCACAGTCTTACTGTAGCCTAGAGAAAAGCGATGCAAAGCACTCACTCAAGCCTATATATGTATTCGTACGACCCCCCCCGGAGGAATTAATCTCGCAACCCCCAGAGTTTTGGTTACGCTTGTGTCGGTTACTGTGTTCGTGTCTGTGTGTTGTGTTCGCAAGGGTTACAAAAGGAATCTTTTTAAAAAAAAAAAAAAAGGAAAGAAAGAAAGAAAGAAAAAGAAACTCGTGTTACTCGGTTTGGTAACTCATTCTGACGACAGCACAGATTCCACCTCTTCTCTGCTGTTTTTATTCCCCTCTCTCTGTCTCATCTCATTTTGTGAACAGAGGTCATTGTGAAACCAAACTTTTTTTTTTTTTTTTTTTTTTTTTAACGAGAGATGGTGTAGCTCTGCCAAAAACAAGACATACACAAGCACATCAGAGCCCTCTATCGAAGAGGATTGTGTCTTAAGAGACCAAATAATGTCAACTATGTAGAGCAGAATTGAAAAAGTCCACCCCAGCGACACGCTCTCTCTCTACAGCATCCTCACAGCCACAGTGGAGACGTACATATCCATCTCTCTGTATGACCTTGCAGGTAACACTGTACACTGTACTGCACTGTAAAAGAGACACAAATCTGTATACGTCTGTAGACTGGTTGAAAGCTGGGAAAACTTCATCACGTGACCAAGTTCCCTTTAGATCACCCATCAGTTCTGCTGTTCCGATCGATCCCCTCTGATCACACAAACCGATCTGCTACGGTCTGCACTGTCCCTGTGTGGAAGATCTTCTCCTCCAAAAAAAATGGCTGCAGCGAGAGCTTTAAAACCCCACCAGCTCTTTTGTCGAAAAACATCATCACGTAAAGACTGAGCATTTCCTGTTCTTTCTCTTCCATGTATTTGTTCTTCATACTGAAATTGTTAGTTTACTCATGTTTTATTTTTGTCCTCCTCTTTTTACAATGTTTGAATTTACCAAATTTAATTTATTTATGACAGTGCATATTTATTCATTTTTATTTTTGTACAATTTTTTTCTCGGTTTTCCTTTTTTTTTTGTTGCTTTTCTTTATTTTGTTTGTAAGATGTTTATGGTCATATTACTGTTGTTGTTACTACAGATGGAAAAAACGCTTTGGTTTCTTGTGTTTGGTTATTTTTATTTTGTTTTTTGTAAAAAAAAAAAAAATGGTGATTTGCAAGTCTGACCCAGCACATGTGAACTTGTGCAGAACATGTGGACCAACTGATGAGTGCGTTACTGTGCACATTAAGGGTAGCATCTTTAAGAAGGATTGATTAATCATCATATTCCATTTGCGATAACTCTGATCAGCTCTTGATAACGAGAAACACCCGAAAAAGGACATTGGGGATACACTGATATTAACGTGAGCTGTGGTAAAACCTTTTTGTCTCAGACTCCTTCATCAAAATATCCTTCCTGTTCACAAGTTTCTTCACAACTGGGAAACAAATCTTAAGTATCTAACCATATGAGCCATTTGTGTGCGTGTAAATGAAGCTCATTCACAAGTAATGGGTCAGAAGTCGAAGCAGTCCAACCACTCATCTGCTGAAAAGAAAGAAAATATAATATCGAGTGCTTTTCTTTCCTTTTCTTTCTTGTGGTTCATTACCATATCATCAGAAGTGTCCATCTGTGTCATCCCCACGATGGCCAAACAAGCGAGTTTCCTCTGTGTTGAACTGTTTTGGGTCGTCAGCCCTGCGTTTGCCGCGCTGACTGACTGCTCTTTTTATTTCGCAGCTTTCTACTTGAATTTACATATTTATTTATACGAGTCGATTCGGTCGGACGAGCCGAGCCAACTGTCTGAATTCCATTTTTAGCCGAGGAGAAGATTAAAGCTGCTGTCTTTGAGGATTGGCTCTAGTCAAAGCCTGTTGTGTAGTTTATCGATGGATAATGTGTATGACCTTGGATTACTTTTAGATCCTTTTTTTTTTGCTTTTTGAAGTTTGTAAATAAAAAGAAACATGTTCCAAATAATACTTTTCCTAATTTCTTTACATCAGTAGTAGTAGCAGATGTAGTGCCTAGCCCCCTTTGTCTCTCCCTCACACACACATGCACACACACATAGGCAACCAAGCACATGCAAAGTTAACTCCTCTTTCCAAGAATATGAGCCACTTATACAGTTTTACAGTCACGTGACCACATCATAATTTACTCTCAATCACATCTCTATACAATATAAACAATTGCATACTTACGCCATTATATTTGTCTTGAAGTAACGAGTTGGCATGCCTATTGTCAATTAATAGACTTTGAGTATGCAGAATCACTTGGGCTCTGTTTAAGGAAGAAAAGAAATTACCCAGATGTCCCAAAACACTTTCAGAAAACAGCAACTGTACTGTAAGTCTAATCTCCATTGGTCAGTTTTAGTATTTGGTGGTGTGTTTTTCTCTATCCTTAAGATAAATAATGAAACACTCGTCAGAATCAGATATCAGCTTCAGACAACATTTTATTCTGTTAATTGGTTTTTAAAACCACATTGCAGATAAGACATGAAAACCTACTTTGGCATAGAGTAATAATGTTTCACATTTTCATCCCTTAAAAAGATAAATGAGGACACAACACGGACCAAGACCTTATAGGCAAATTCTCTACTTTAAATATATGATACCTATTTTAACAATGTTGTTGAAAAGGTGTGTGGCAAAGTGAGACAAATGGCAGAATGATTTGCCAACATTTTAAAAAGAACTTTCTTGGTGTCTTCTGTTCATTTGCACTCGTACAGGCGAAGTACATTCAGTGTCATTGCTTTTGGCAGCATATTTTTCTTATCCTGTTCTAGTGGTAAGATCGATGGAATGTACCACTGAGGGTGAAATCTGGGTTTGGTTCGTACGACCCACTTTCCACGTCCTACTTGAATAAATGGTCACTCATATAGTGGAGATTCTGTGTGTGTGTGTGTGTGTGTGATACCTCCATACAAGCAGATGCTCATTAATTTAGACGTTTGAGCTGTCAAATTGAAATTTTCAATAGAATTAGGGCAAGAAATACACAAATTTGCCTCCTGACCATTGTGTCAATCCCCAAATTCAGGCTTTATTTTGCAGGTTACTTGAGTGTTTGGCTTGTCGGTGGTGTTGTTAGCTCCACTCACCAAAAGAGGATTAAATAGATAAATATAACAGATGCATCCACCTCCATTTCCAGTGAGAGGTGTAAAATGCATGAATGAAAACAAGGAGTATCTTGTTTCATTTGACGAATGTCAGAGGGTGATGGCTTTGCAGAGACAAACGGCTGAGCTAACACAGCTCACTGACTAATTTGCATGGTTATTAAATCGCAGAGCCCGACTACCTGTTTTGATTTTGTATGTACACTTGCGCTTTCTTTCGATTACATTTGATCCATAACTATTATGTTCCAGTTTACTGTCCACAGTGACTATGACTTGCAAATTCACACCCACTTTCACCAGAGAACTGGATTTTAAAACAAAATTGTACTTCCAGATCAAATTTATAAGCCAAAAGGCCACAATCAGAGATAAATCAGTGGTTGTATATCTCAGCCTGAAAAGACTTTGTAACTTCATTTTTAGTGCACATGGGTCTTAAAGTTAAGTGTAAAGGTGTTGTGTGTGAGTGCTTAATTTGGTGAAACTGTGCAGCATGTACCATAAAGCACACTGAATATCATCACATTCGTCTCCTGGATTGTTTTGTTTTTATTTTCATAGATGCCTGTGATCTTAAGCTTTGTGTTTCTGTAAACTCTGAGTGAAGGTTGCTGTGCAGTCTGTGTCTTTGTTCCATGTTTCCTTGTTACAGCCTATTTGTACGTGGTTTGTCTTTTTTTGTAGCCTAAATGTGATGTGAGTTCTTATTTGTCAGAATAAAATGAATGCATCCGTATTATTTTTGTGTCTTTTATTACAATATTGTCACGGAACGGCTTGTTTAGAAGTTAAATGTGTACTGACCCATTTAAAGTGGACATAATATTGCTATAGGCTACTACATACCTTAATGATGATATCAAAACTAAACTAAAGGGCATGTGTGACCTAATATCTCATAAAAATAATAGGCCGCAGTATTTCCACAGGTGAAAGAGGTGCTAGTGTAGAACAAGGTAATTTCAATCAAATCACTAACCACCGACATGAGGAACTCCATCCAGTTTTCAAGAAGCTGGCAATGCAGCTAACAGTGGTGACAGAAGGATATCATGGTATTAAAATAAAGCCATCAAAAGTCCTGAAATAAGTATATAAGTATTATCTAAATGTAAATTTAAGTATGAAAAGTAAGCTGCCAAATAAGCAGAGTGGCTCTTTTAAAATTTTTATAGCCATCTATTATTTGCATTTACAAGTAAATATCCTTTTTAATTTTAAAGCCGTTAATGAAACAATGCCAAACAAAGTTGCAAAAAAATGTCATTAGGTTATTATCCAAAATATTTATCTGCAAGTTATTGACTCTAGCTTTCAACAAATGCACTGCAGTAAAATGTGCAGTATTTTCCTCTGAACTCCAGTGGCGCTGAAGTATACAGAACCAGAAAATTACACAGGTGAAGTACAAACCTCAGACTTGAAGTTAAGTAAAATACTTGAGTATTTAGCTGTTTTCCATTACAGGCAACAAAGGCTAACACAAGGTCTAAATACTAAAAAAGTAATCTACTGACTATTTTCTAACCCAGCTAAACTTACTTTGTGTTGTCAACAGTGGTGGGATGTTACTAAGTACATTTACTCAAGTACTGTACTGTTTGAGGTACTTTTACTTTACTTGAGTAGCCTATTATTAATCTCATGCCACTCTCTATTGATACACTACAGTTACTACAGTCAATTATTTGATAAGTTCATAGTTAATAGCTACTTTACAAACAAAGTGATTTTTTTCACACAAACCATATGAAAATATATATGTGCAGCTGAAACGATTAGTTGATATATTTTTTTTATTTTTTGTTCAAATTTCATGGTTCCAGCTCCTCAAATATGAGAATTTGTTGCTTTTCATTTTATTTATTTTATTAATTATTAATTTATCCATTTTATTTACATATTTTTGGCATTAAGTTCTTTTACTTTTAATACTACTGGTACTTTTTATGCTATTGGTACTTTTACTTTATTAAAGTATCTGAATACTTCCCTCACTGTTTGCCAACGTGGAGGACTGTTCGTGTACCTAGATGCGTCATATTTGTTGAGAACTCTGTTTCCCAGAATGCTCTGGTCTTTAAACGTTACGTGACTTGACGTTTTTTCACCGATTGTTGATGACGATGGCAGACAGCGCAGGTCAGTAACTGAGTGGTGTAACTGGGAGGAGGAGTGCCTGCCTAGATAAAATAATTTTCTCCGGCGACCTGCTCTCAAAAGACCGAAGAACAACACATTAAACGAATGAAGCGAAGGTAGTGTGAGAAACCGGTGAACTGTACGCGGACTGAGGCTGGTTCAGGGACGTCTCCTACATTGTTTTGAAGGCCTGTTGCTAGCTTCGGGGAATCCTCGGGCTAGCCCGGTAGACACCGGGCCGAGAGAGCGCAGGGGACCTGGACAGGAGCTGGTTTTATCGACCAGGTTTGACTGACGCTGGCTGCCCTATCTTATAATCAAACGAAGACGTAACGTCTCCTGCTCCTCCGAGGCGGATATAAATCAGCGTAACTCAAGACGCTGTGTGTTTGACAGCTAGCTAACATTAGCTCACCTGTGTTTACAAGCTAACTTAGCCAGATTGTGTGAAGAAGTTGGCACTCAGGTGTCTTTGTTTCAGTTAAGATTTGCATATTTGGGTGCCACCAGCTGCCTGCTAGCTGGCGGTGATTTGTAACCTTGTTCTTATTCAGTCTACGCCGACTGAAGGTCGCCAGCCAGGCAGCTAGATCAAAAAGTCCCCTGAGCTAAGGTTATCGCATCTTCGAGCTTATCTACTGCTGCACAAAGTTTATTTGTTTGTGTAGAAGAATCAGACTTTCATGAGTCGATTATCAAAGCTACCTGTGACCAGCTGAAAGACAGTATCCCGGATGAAGACTCACAGAGAGGTGTGGATTTTGATGCTGTCAGGACTTACAGGTATCACCTGTTCTTCTCAGCATTATTAATCTCACACCGGCACCCAACATCTGCTGCACCAGAAACACCTCATCTGCTGTGTCGCTCTCTTGAGCTCATTTGCTCAAGAAGGATACTTTTCAAAACAGACCACAATGAATCGTTACCTGCCGGTGGCACGACAGCACTTTCTGGCTGCCCTTGCCAGCACCAGTGTGGTGGTGAAAAGTATAAGTGCCGTGGTGGTTCTCCTCTATCTGTTGTCATGGGCCATCGACACTCCATACGCACTGGGGGTGACCCCAGGCTACCTCTTTCCGCCCAACTTCTGGGTGTGGACACTTGTGACCCACGGGGTGGTGGAGCAGCACGTTTGGGGTGTGGCGGCCAACGTTGGGACAGTTATGGCCTGCGGACGACTGCTGGAGCCTCTGTGGGGCGCTCTGGAGCTCCTGATCTTTTTCGCAGTGGTTAATGTATCTGCAGGCCTCCTGGCAGGCCTCTCCTACCTCCTCACCTATGTTGCCACCTTTGACCTGGACTACCTGTTTGCTGTCCGTGCCTACGGAGCAGCTGGGTTCCTGGGAGGTGTCCTGGTGGCTCTGAAGCAGACCATGGGGGACACCACAGTGCTCAGAGTGCCACAGGTGAGGGTAACAATTATTGGAAGTAATGTCTGCGCTTGATCGATCCATATTAGCAAGGGTATGCTCCTCTTTTGAGCCTGTAAATAATACCAGACCAGTGATGAGTGGGACAGCAAATTTAAATTTAAAGTGTAACCCAACAAGAATGTAAACAGCACTGAAAACTTAACCACTAGTCCTTCAGATGTGTACGTAAACAGGCCTGTGTCAGATTATGACCATCACACATCAAGGATGCCCCCAGCTGTATTACAAAATAGCATAAAATGTGCTTTGCTTTGTTTTTAGCTTAAATTAACATAAGATGTCATCATGTATAAACTGAGTAAGGACAACAAGCTGTAAAGGCAAAGGACCATATCCTTTGCCTTGATTTACGCACCACATGTAACTCTACATAAATACGGAAACCATTTGTGTGGCAGTCTTAGAGGCTCTTAATATATAATGTATGCTTTTAGCTATAAAGGCAGCTTAGTAAGTTTAAAGTGTAGCTTTTAAAAAGACATTAACAGAGTGGTATAGCGTAAAATACGCAAATGTGCACACTTACCTCCAGCATGCATACTTGTGTGCTTTTAGATTGGGGAACAGCTGGTTTATTTATACTTCACAGAAGTATACAAGGTTTTCTCAAAATACCCAAAACTTCTTCCAGTGCAATACTATATCGGTGCTTTAAATCCACATGTGGTACAGCCCATGATGTTTTCTTTTTTGTTTGATGTACCAGGGTGTTGCCTCCAGTCACCTTTGAGGCTGTAGTTTGTGGTTTTGCATGAAAGCATCCAGTTGTGTTCCTTGCACCTGACTAACACCTAACATACTGTTGGCATGAAAACACTACAAAATACAGCTGTAAAAAGGCAACCAACAAAATTATATCCAGGACTCTTGCATAGAAACATGTGTTCTGTGCACACTGTGCCTTTTCAGTGGGATTACTTTTATGCTGGGGGAGTAACTTTTTTAAAACAGACCACTTGTTACATCCAAGTAGCACTTCCTCCATTTAGTTTTTTTATAGCACTGGCCTATGCTAATAGCTGTAATCGTTTTGTGAGAACGCACATATCAGGCAGTCAAATTATTGTCAAATACATGCTGTTGTATTAAAGCCATATAAGCCAGTGGTTTATAAACTGTTTGCTTGGTTTGTGTTAGGCATGTGACTCTCCTCCAAATATGGGCTACAGTGTGATCTGTTAATTTATATTTTAAGATTTAATCTGATGCTCTTTTGCAGAGCAGCTTACACTGAGTGTCCAGATATGGTTTTAGTTTTTTTTTTTTTTTTTGCTTAAGCACACATTAGCTACACATTCCTAATGTGTCTGTTACGCTATCAGGCCGCTCTGCTTTACCTACTTTATTTATTTCCCTTTTTTTTTTTAGCTTGTTATGAGTTTGTATAAAGCTGGGTTACTTTACTCTAATCTCCCTCATCTCAGTTGAGCAGGTCAGAAAATGTACTCCATCAAAACACTGGTCCATGTTGACTATGACTCTCGCCTGCCACCCTGACATGTAACCAGCTGTTGTTTGCTGTTCCAGTTCCTAAATCTAGCTGACTTGAGTAAATTGTGTGAACTGGCAGCTACAGTGATCTGTAGACAAAATGGTAACTGTCCTTTTGCCTGATTATTTTAGCTCACAGGAACTAAAATCTGTGTCCCCCCCATCCTAGGTGAGACTCAAAGCAGCACCGGCTTTGGTCCTCCTTCTCCTGGCCTTACTGCGTCTGTCTGGGCTGCTCGACAGCTCTGCCCCGCTGGCTACGTACAGCTATGGTGCCCTGTCCGGATGGGTCTACCTGCGCTTCTACCAGAGGCACAGCCGGGGCCGCGGGGACATGTCGGACCACTTTGCCTTTGCTAGCTTCTTCCCCGAGGCGCTGCAGCCGGCCGTGGGGCTGCTGGCGGGGCTGGTGCACTCCGCCCTGGTGAAGATGAAGGTGTGCAGGAAGATGGTGAAGAGATACGATGTGGGGGCGCCGTCCTCCATCACTATCAGCCTGCCAGGGACTGACCCACAAGATGCAGAGAGGAGGAGGTGAGTCAGAGCAAAAAAGAATTTAACATTTACATCTGCATGCTCATAGACGGATCTCATGCAAAGGTTGGTATAAGGTGCCTAGTTATTAAATTTCTGTTGGCACATTAGAGTCCAGTGTTGTCATGGTTCCTCTAAGACCCTTTACATTTCATTTTTTGTTAAATTAATTTAATTTAATGGTCAGTGTATTTTGTAAATTCATTGGTCACTTGTTTAGCAGCAAAATGTTGTTCAGTTGTATGAAATCATTGTCGTTAGAATGTCGAGAATGCACCCAAGTATCTATGAGTGAAGTAAGATATACACGACACACCCATATAGTGAATTAAATACTCCAGTCGGAGACAGGAAACACTGTTGTTTTACTTTTATTGACTCAGGCAAGGTTTGCTGAGCCTCTGAGCTCTTTTTCAGTCGTACTCCTCAAACAGTTCATGCATGTTCATCATGTCTGAGCTCTGCAGCACACAGTCAGTAACACTCTCAAGCTGTCAGAGGTTTGTCTTTTTTCCTGTTCCATTGTCTAGCACACACACTTCCAAGCTGTCATACATATTCAGTTACAGAAAGGTTTCATTGTTGTCTGTCTCTCTCACACACAGGCATGTGCTCGTGTAATTGTCAAAGGGTAATTTTATACTTTTTATTATATCTCAATGGGGGAAAAATGTTCGGGGAGCCCTGGTAGCCACATGGTTAAGTCCCATATCGCATAACCACAAAGTCCACAGTTTGACTTCAGGCTTGGGTGCCTTTGTTTCGTGGCATACTCCTCTCTCTGATCCTGTTTACACTTGGTGTTAACATGCGTCTTGGTGATCCGAATACAAGTGGACAGCCAAGACACTTCGCCGTTCACACCTGTGTCTATCATGTGTCTCCATCTGACCACTTGTGTTCAGATTTCGTTATGCCACTTAAGTCAGAAGGTCAAAAGGCTCCTGCACCATCATTACATCCAAAGTCTCGCTTGCTGCTCATTAGCATGTTCACTAGCCATGTTAGCAGTTGTGTTGGTAGAGCTTGAGATACAGCTGTGAGCAGAATTCAACACACCTCCATCCACAGGGCAGCGATGGACAGTCACGCAACAATTGGTCCAACTTGTTGTAAAATAGGCAGGTATAGAGCATTAGTTTGCTGTCGCCAAAGCAAACCCCATGCCCCACATTGAAGAATTAGCCCTCGTCAGTGACACATCAGGCTGCATTTGCATTTACACTACAAAAGATAAGCGCTCAAATACATTCCAGACCACCTCTGAAAGTGGTTTGAGTGATCGGATCACAGTGCATCTTGTTGGTCATTTACACTTGTACTTAGAGCTTTTCACTTGTGATCGGATCACCGGAGGCACATGTTAATACCAGGTGTAAACACGCTCTGTCTGCTCCTGTCTATCAACACTGACTGTTGAGTAACTTCCATCCAGGGTAGGTTTGCTGAACAAGTATTATTGCATTTTTTGCCAGAAACTGGTTGAACTTCATGAGTCTACATCACCACTCTTCCCTCAGGGAAGTGTTTCCTTCCGTCAGCATGACACACATTAAATACGGCTACTACTTGAATGAAGCCAGGGCCTCTGTAAATGTTTGATTTTGAAAAACTGGTGATTGAGTATTCTGACATCTGCGGAATGGAAAATTAACCTCATGGTGATGAGATTAAAAGTAATTGGTACTTCTCCAGGATAAGTGGAAAGATTTAATCAACAGAGGATGACTTTCATTACAAAAATGACATAATTCATCTGATAAATTGCCCATTCTTCTCTGATTGCCGTTAAGGACATTATCAGCAAAAAGTGTGTTACATTTCTGTTGCTTTTTAAAAAAAACATTATACCATTTTTACTAGCAACTAACCAGTAGGATACCCTTATTGTGAGTTCACTTAACAAGGCAGGGAATGGGAATTTCTCTTGTTGATTTTTTTGAGAAGAGCTTAAGCACCTCAGTTCCAAAAAGGTCAGTAGATGGTAGGTCAGCAGATTAGGCTATCACAGTCCATGTAAACATTGTCATTGTCAGCATGTTGCAGCTACGATGCCACAGGTATCAGAGAGGAATCTGTATGAAGGACATGTTTATTTTTTTCTTTTTCAATTGAAAGATAAGAGACAGAACATTAACATCAAAATCAATTGTAGTAAAAGCTATACCCATCATCTGGGCCAGGTGCTCTTAAAGGGACAGTCCACCCCAAAATCAAAAATACATATTTTTCCTCTTACCTGTAGTGCTATATATCAATCTAGATTGTTATGGTGCTAGTTGCTGTGTTGGAGATATAGGCTGTATAGATGTTTGCCTTGTCTTCAGTATAATGGAACTAGATGGCGCTCAGCTTGTGGTGCTGAAAACTCAACAGCAATGTCTTTCCAGAAATCATGACCCAGTTACTCAAGATAATCCACAGACCTTGTTGTGAGCAGTTTTATGTAGGAGCATCAAAACAATCTAGACTGATAAAGCACAACAGGTAAGAGGAAAAATATATGTTTAAGATTTTGGGGTTAACTGTCTGTTTATCCAAGGCCCTCCAAACTGCTCCAATGGTGCTGCACTTTGCTTACTCTGTGCTCTACATGTGTAGGGAGTTCTTGTCTTTTTTAACATATGGCTCACTTTACGGTACGTGTTTCATATCGTTACTGGAGCACAGCGATACTATGGAAGCATTAGATGACATTTAAATGGGAGCACTAAATCTATTACTAACATGGCGTCCTCGTTGTGCAGCTGTACTTACATCTGGTATTAATGAAGAACATCTCTCATTCCCTATTTCTTCCAGACAACTGGCCCTCAAGGCCCTCAACGAGCGTCTAAAGCGCGTGGAGGACCAGTCTGCCTGGCCCAGCATGGACGACGAGGAAGACGATGATGAGGACGAAGTCAGAACCGACACACAGCCGCTCCTCCCAGGTGGGCGTGACCCCTCCTCCTCCACACCGAGACCAGCAGGAGGACCCGTCGGCGGCTCTCTCTCCTCCACATCCTCATCTTCGATGTCACAGAGCAGTGGAGGGCCACCCACTGGCGGAGCGCAACACCCAGAGTCCAGCATTATCAGCTTCGAGGATGCACCTTCTAGATCGTAACAAATAGAACACATGTGTAAAGATACGCACGCTCTGTTCGGTGTCACTGGCAGGTATGCTAGTGTATTCAGCGTCCCTGACTAGTATACGAATATGTTCAGTGACAGTGAGTAGGTATACGCTCGATATTACACACGCCAACACACACAACATCTTCGACCAGTTCATACACACAACTGTGCGTTCACAAACACACTTGTCAATGTCATCATGAAGCCCAGTGGGGTGGTAACTGTACAGTGCTTTCAGTTCAGACATGTTGGTTGTAAATGCTCAGTATAGTTGGGCAAACTGGACACTTCATTCTTCTCTTCCTTCTCGCATACGACCGAAAGTCAACCAGAAATTCTGTCATTTCCGGACTTGATCCCAACTAGCAGAGCTCAGTTCACTGCTTCATGTGTCTCTCTCTCTTGCTTTCTAAATAAATAACAAAATGGGTGTACAATATTCTTTTTTAAGTCTTTTTCAGAGCAGCTGTGGTTGTTCTCTGATTGCCTGCCACGAGAAAGCCGCCAGTGACAGAGACTCACGCCGAATTCTCGAATGAAAAGCCGACTCTGCGCACAGCTAAGCTCTGAAAAATGGCTGCAAGTGACATTAGCTTTTTGGTTCACTGGTTAAGATATGTAACCAGGTGTGTAACGGAGGAGGGATGAAAAGCACGTACTCAGCAGAGGTGCTGGACCAGAGAAACGAAGCTGCTGCAGGTCTGTCCTGCTGATGAACTATGATACAAAACTTCAACATCTAAAGAGGTGCCAGATGAAAAGAATTTTGTGGACCAGGTTCATTTGCCGCCTGGTGTCTCTCTGGAACAACAGGCAGAGAAATGGGCCGCGTACCCAATTTGTTTTTTTTATCCCCTATTTGTCGTTCAGTGGAGAACTATTGTTTTTTTTTCCTCTTCTTCTGGGTCGGTTCATAACTAAACAAAATCAAAAAAACACCTTTTGTTTCTGTGCACTAACAAGACAAGTTAACGGCGTTACATGATGATTACGGTTCTTGTTTTACGAGTTATGACTTGGTTATATTTTTTAGCTCAATATAAAGCCTGGAGCATCGTCCTGTACCATTTTACACTTCCACCTGTGAGGATCTGAAATGATACAAGGACCTGGGAGCATGTGATGCAGAGAAGTGGTCACTGTCTGTCATGGCTGTTAGTCTTTTGGCATCATTATAAATGCAGAGAGGTGCAGGAGAAGGGTAGGGAATGTGTGTGATGGTTATGCACAGACTGTGCAGGTGTTGTCAGAGTTGAGAGTCAGAGTTTGTATCTGTGCTGTGTCAAACTCTGCTCTGGTTTGCTGCGTCTCAGACTCGTGAGGAAAACTGACCCCACAGACAGAAGTCACCTGCATTGATCAGTAATCGGCCCGGTCAGGGTTTCCCAGTCACATCCTTTGCGCTTGTAACATCTTTTGTTTCTAAACACACAATACCAAACAGGGCCAGTGGTGGATACATTTCCAGGCAGGTTGATGGGCAGCAAAATTGTTTCATATAAAACGCCTCATAAATTCTATGCAGACCCAAAGGTCAGTGATTCATTCATTTTGTAGACAGTCATTGTTGTGGATGTCACAGTTTATTATGGTAATGATCAAAGCATTGAATTCCACATTTCCCAGCTGACCTTGTTAATTAACGTCAGTTGCAGCCAATAAATTATTTCAGACGTTGCAATCACAGTGATGACAAAGTCAGATTTTTTTAACTTAATGACTTGCAAACATGAGGCTGAAAATATTTCCAAATGAAAAGAGAATTTCCATATGGCTAAGAGGATGACACATGCACTCCTGCTGAACATACTTAACAAAGAGCATTTAGTACAAAACATCATGTTCACTTGATCCCTCTGTGAGAGTCATCATGGGACAACAGGCCCAGTAGATTAAGTTGCTGGAAACTACACAAAATGTTAGCATTAAGTACAGAAACATGTTGTTACATGTTTAATTCATAGACAAAGTAGATCTTGTCTCTGATCTGAAAGTAGATCTGTTTTTCATATTTAATAATCTAATAATTGTTTTGTGAGGAATAACCTTGCAGTGGCCTTACTGATCATTTTATTTGTCACAGACTGAGCTGATGTAAATCAAACTGAAAACAAACATAACAGAAGAGACAGTGGGTTATTTATGATCAGCAAAATCACCAGAGTAGATGTTGGCACTGTACATGTCTGCAAACCACAGATCACGTCATATTTCCATGTTATCATGTAGCAGATATATTAAAATACTCCACTTTTTTACATTTCAGCAACACTGGTTATGTTTAAATACAATAACCATTTAGTTATTGTTAGGAAAAGATCATTTTTTTGGCTTAAACTACTTGGCTTCAGTGGCACAATAACGGCTGGTAATGCAGCTGATGTCCCCTCCGCCTCCTGGCGAGAAACTAAGCTCGTAAACATGTAACATGTAATCACTTTAGAAACGTTGATATTGTACATATGAAATGCACAAATGTAACATATCTGTGGTTTGCAGAAATGTACTGTCCCTGTGTTTTCCTCTGGCAACTTGGGTGTTGTGCCATCTATTGCTCTCTAGTAGAAGAACTGTCCTCCTCCTGTGTCCACCTAGAAGTAGCGGCGTGTGGTTTATCAATGTGATTTTGGGACTGGATATGTCCTGAATCTGAGATGTTTACAGTTTATGAACAACATGTGTGGGAAGAAAGAAAAAATGCAGTTATATAAGTCTGATTGCTGATCAGTTTGCAGTTTGCTCTGAGAGGTTCTGTGGAAACCATCAGCTCACAGGCTCAGTCTCATAGTCTGGACTTCAACATGACTGACACATTTGATAGTGTAGTGAGGAAGAAGATCACAAGATTTGCTTTTTGACAAATAGCGGCATGTGACCTGATGTGTAAAGCGGGGGTAAGTGGGATAAGCGATAATGTTGGCAGTTTGGGAACATTTGCTCCTGGGAATACACTGACCGACCTGATCAATCAGAACAAAGGTCACATTAGCAGTCTGATATTCAAAAAAAGTTTCATCTCATTTCCCTGGTCTCCATCCCATACTTATGTTTGAATCTGACAGTGTGTTTCAGATTAACTCTATGAAGTATGGCAGATACAGTTTGAATATGTAGAGTTTGGACTCTGACGTCCAAGCGATGAGAAGCAGTTGCTTTTCACCTGGTGGAAAGGTGTTGCGTACGGGAAGTGATAAGCCATATTAGAGTGATGAACTTCTGTGTGTTCTGTCCTGTGTTTCTCCGTGTTCCTTCTGCTCTTTTCACTGTGCTCTTATTTTGGCAAGAAGATGTTTACGTTGGATGAGGGGTCCATTCTTTGGTTAAATATGAATGACCTGTGGTATTTACATAACTGGCTGGACAGGAACAAGAGGCCGTGTCAAATCCAGCTCTAGAGTGCAGAGAGGTTGTGCTGCAGTCAAAAATCTGAAATCTCGAACTGCATGCTGCCATCACAAGTATTCACACTAGCAACGGAGGCAAAGTGTTTAAACAAACTAATACATACAGTAATTACAGATGGTGACAGTTTAATGATGTCATTTTCAAACCATTTTATTTGTAACTTACTCTGGAAATAGCATGATATCTTTTTTAGCTTAGCTGCTGACACAACTCAGCTTGCATCCAACAGTATCAGCAATGCGGCAAAACACGTTCCATCATGGATGCCTGAAGATAACTGTGAAGTTGTGTAATCCAGTGACGTTGTGTAATTTCACCAGTGAGAACGCGTAGGAATGTTGTAGTTGGCAGTCTGAGGTTTCAGATTGAGGCCCGGCCACTCTTAGTTTCAGCCAAACCTCCTCTATCCATCCCTGTTCACTTTTGTTTTTCTGTACTTACATCTGTAAACATCCTCCAAGAGAAGAAAGGGATGCAATCACATACTGTCTTTGTGAATAATGTCGGTTTACAGTAGGTGTTGACAAACTAGGAAGGCCACAGGCAAGGATAATGAGTGTTGTCACTGGGTTTAACAATGGACACAGCCTTTGAGTCAATAGCCAGCACTTAATGGCTAGAATTGCAAAGTGGATACACAAGTGTGTTTTGTCCTTAAGTTAGTATCTTGTCATTATTAAAGACACACCACAGGCAGGTCGACTATTTTTAAACCTCAGCAGGTGCTCTAAATGAAAGCAACCTGCATTCACATGAGAATTAAATTCTGCTTTGCATCTCTAATATACAAAATTATTATTTATTATCTCAGACTTCTGAGAAAAAAATTCAAAAGATAAAAAATCTGCTCTTGTTTTTTTTAATCAAAAAGATGATAAACTCATGGATTCTTGTTTTTGTGAATTATGACATAATCTCGTAAATCCAGACAATTTGCGCGAATTTTTTTTCCCATGAAAACTTTTTTCTCTATTCTGAGAAGGTTATCTTTTTGATTCAGAAAACAAGAGCAGATGGGTTTTTTTTGTCTCAAGTAGCTTCCTCTGTTTTACCCACAATTAGATTTTTTAGTTTCTCCATACAGTCTTTATTTTCCCTTGTTATGTTAAAATTTCAGTTAGCAAATTTTAACGTTACAAGGGGGAGGGAAGTATCTTTGACAATATAAATTCATATTTTAAAGGTGTTTATTTGCCAGCCTTCATTCACAGGTACACATTGGTTATTAGCAGTTACTGGAGTGCATCATCAAGTCAAGAATTTGGTAACATGTCTACATCAGCATGACATCACATCAGTAATCATTTGCTATGGTTTGATCATAAGCTGTAAGGTGAATTCATGTATTCTAAAAGTTTGACTCATCTCATAGCCAGGTAAGCAACTAATTACCTTAAAATCTAATTGGTTAAAACCTGACTTTGGGGTAACACCTGTGTCCCAGATTTGTGGATGAAAGAGGTTTTCCTGCCCTAAAACAAATGACAGATTACAGATGAGACTGCTCTGTTTTTGTATCCTGTTGGCAAAGGTGGTCCTTCACGGCAATGTTTTCCTTTTCTTTAAATCGTTTTCTGTCCCTCCTTTTGCACCAACAGATCCTGTTCATAATAATGGCAGTCTCTCTCTATCTCTGCACTTTGGCTGTTGCACAGACTTTTCTGTTTTAGTTTTCAGATATATTTCTTTATCTCTGTATGAAATAAAATACGATTGTATGAAATGAAAATGTGTGTGTCAGTCTTTGTCGAGTTACTGTTGTTATGTTTGCTGTACTGCTGTGGATGTAAATGTGATTATGCAGAAAGGATGGGAAAGATGGTGGTGGCAGTGTGGCTCAGTGGTTTGACCTGTAACATCCCACAACAACCATGAATCCTACTGGATTATCTGTGAAAGTAAATCTGGGTGTTCTATCAGATCCTGAATATTTGTAAAATTAGCATGCTAAGACTTTTTTTTAAGTGGGTAGACTTTACATACATTTTCTGGTGTTTACAAGTGGAATTACAAGGTTCATAAGGAATCGGTCTCCATAGAGAGTTCCCTTTTAACCTTGCGCTCATAAACTTTATAAAATACAGGATGCTGCACAGCGCCCGAGACTGCCACAGTATTATGGGATGACACCAAATAATAAGAGGGTTAGAAAGAGTATTGGAATATCCCACTCAACTCAAAGTACACCTTAGTGTGAAGAAAAACTATTTAAAACTGAACTGAAAGTGAAACTTTTCTTCCAAGCCAGACTCTAATACTAAGTTTCCCCCCTTTTTTACAATGGTATTAAGAGTGCTACTCCTGGTCAGTGCAATTCATGCAAGTAATAAGACAAATTAAAGAGCACACATTGATTCAATAAATATGAAACTAAAATAAACGCTATAAAAAGGATGGATATACATAAAAAGGATGTACTTTGCACATACAAACACATTTATTGCTCTTCAAAATATACTGCATATACATGTAGAGAGTTAAAGGTAAAAGTGCTCAGCAGATGATGGTAATCATCTATGGTGTGTGTGTATTGTTGGAGTTTAGAGTTGTGATGGTCCAGGGAAAGACACTGGAGCCTGGACCTTGAGCCTGTTTGTCCAGCTCTTGATGCACCTGAACGCCTCCCAGAGGGCAGCAAGTTGAATAGGTGGTGTCTAGGGTGAAAACAATCTCTGATGATTTTCCTGGCTCTGCAGAGGCACTGTGAGCTGAAGATGTCTTCCAGGGAGGGCAGAGGGTACGTGATGAATGTATTTATGACCCTCTGAAGAGCTCTCCTGTCAGCCGCTGCGCGTGAGCCGTACCACACTGTGATGCAGTACACCAGCACGCTCTTGATGGTGGAGCGGTAGAAGGCCACCAGCAGCTTCTCCTTCAGTCAGGATAAATGTGAATTGGATTATACTGCACAAGTTGTGTGAAAGTATGTAAATGGATGCTGTTGTTAAAGGTGGTCCCCAATCACTCAGTAAATCAACATGTTAATTTTCTTCATGGAGGCATGGGAGGAAAAAGTTTTCTTCAGGAATTCAAGGTAACAAAGCATGACTAACTCATTTACAAATGGTCATTTTATGGGTGAAGTGTTCCTTTAATATGTTACAATATTTGTCCCTCATCTCTCTGAATTTGTTTAGTTACCTTAAGTGTACGCCAGGTGGCGCAGTAAGCTCAGACTTCTGTTTGGACACCTCACTCCTGGCTAACAGGCATTTCCAATTACAGAAAGTTACAGTTTGAGTGTTGGCAAAGCTGTAATGGGCTCAATTAAGAGGAGTAACACAATTAATTTAAAGCTAACTGTCTCTCCGTTGGGATATAACTCCAACATTTATTTTGTGCTGGACCTGTAACGTTAGAGCCCATGAAATGTTATATATCATTAGATTAGCTAGGAAATAAAGTGTTAATAAAGGGACACAGCCTCCTGAAAAACACCTGTGGTACTTGAGATATAAGGAAACAGTGACTCATTTTGGACCCTAGTTGATAATAAAAATCACTAATGTAGACTGCCTGTAATTATAAAACCTTAACAAAGCTCTGCCTCATATGTTCAATTGTTAAACACATGTTAACAATTTGAATTTATGAAAATGTCAGTCTGAAAATAGTGTTTACAGCTCGGTGTAACCTTTACATGCAGG